TCTGGTCTCAGTTTGATTTAAGTCAAAAAACAATTTGAGAAACACATGTTGCTTGCAATAATGATTGGTCAGAGTGCCTTTTACTTGGTTTTGTGGGTTTTTTTTTTTGCACTCAAGAATTTTATTATGAATTTAACAAGCTGTATGTATAGGAAATGTGTTGCTACCTTTTTTCTTCTGCAGCTGGTAAATTTATGTACCTCCAAAAACTTCCAGCATTGGCTAAGATAGGTTTTAATCCTCCTTCACTAACAAGTTCATGAATATCTTGAAAGTACCCTTCACTGTTAATGATGCAAAATTTCTTAAAGAATCAATAATGAGCTGATAGGTTTCAGGGAAAAGATGTTTTATTTAGAGGGATTTGTTTAGAGAAATGTTTTTTTCTGGCCAAGTCAGATCAAACATTCTGTGAATAGCAGGAAGTTTGATCCAGGAGCTGGTTTGCTCTTTTATTTATAAAATGCTTGCTTTGGGGATGTTTCAGAAGGCAGGTGTGGGATGGAGAACAATGTATACATGTTGTTCAACACTCGTTTAAGTTTTTCCCTTGATTGAATAAATTATATGACTAGATTTTCCTTTTTACTAACTCTCTTTTTTTCTTTCACATTAAGTGTAGGTAATGTCACATCCATATAAATCAATATAACAATGACATTATGTATGTATATTATTATTTAAACATTGCTCTCCAGTGTATAGTTTTGTCAGTCATATTTTATAGGGAGTCTGTAGACTGTTATAATCATTACAGTCTGTACAGTGGAAAAATCCTGTAAATCCCCAGTTTTTGAGTGTTTTGAGTGGTAATGGTGTAGTACAGGTAAATAGCAACAGGGTGTCTGAATAGCACAATCCTATAAGCATTGCAGGAAATAAAGCATGAAGAACATGCTGCTAAAAACACTGAACAAATGAATATTCTGTAGAGAACATACTAGTGCACAGAATTTTTCATTTCCTGTGAGAGACCCCTGTGAATTTATGCCTGGAAATGCAAAAATGTTAAAATACATTGGTGTCTTTTGGAAGCCTGTCAAATGCACATTTTGTGCTGTCTTGAATTATTACTTGTGTGTATATTAAGCAGGCATCAAATTGTGCTTAAATCAAATAAAAATGACTGCTAGTTTGGATGGCTTTTTCTGAGAAATGCCCAGAAAGGAGGGTGAAATTGGAAGTTTCATGCAACTGCATTTCTCCAGTATACAATGACCAAGACCTTATAATACATAAATCTTCTTTTGGGTGATATCTAGTCAGAATGAACTCGCTAAATTTTCCTTCTAGTAAAATTCTTTTACAAGCCAGATACAATTTATTCTAACATTTATTTGATGGGCAACATTTTGTAGATCTCAAATAATTTTCACCCAAAATTTTATTCATGGGCCCCAAACACAAAGAGAACATGAGATGAATAATTGTTTTCCCCCTTTCACATCATTATCTTATTCCACCAAGGCATTGTTAGGCGAACATTGTGCCCAGGTTAATTTATTTGCAGCAATATCTTGTGCTGACCTGTACTACATATAATCCTTTTTAGACCATGATATCATGATGGCAGCTAATACAATCTAGAATATGTGGACAAGATTTATTATACTTGGTGTCCTGCTTAATAATTCTGTTGCTTTAAGACATTAAAAATGTAAAGATTTTTTTTTCAAAATTTATCGATACTGTCCTAACAAATGTGAGAAATTTTAGCCATAGTTATGTTTAATCCTTAATTATCATAAGCTTCTATTCCACCTTGTGGAAGCACAATCAAACCACAGCTGAGAGGCAATCATCATTTCTTGCTTTGCACATGCTACTTGCAGCTTTAGGGTAAAGTGGGAGGGTAAAAACTTGCTCTTTCATCCACTGGCAGTTTATGGATTTCTGACCCTCAGATATTATTTGCATTCACAGCATTTGTTTGGTGGCTTGGCCACTACATGTGAGATGAGTGTTGTGCTTTCAGACAGTTCAGATAACATAATAGCAAATCTGTGCCTCCCAAAAACTCAGAATTAAGAACTTTATTCCCTAAGGTGCTCTAGCTGTAATTACAGCAGAGGAGCATTACTAATGAACAAACCCATACTTGTAATCCATGCAATCCGTGTGCATTTGAGTTACACCATGTTTTATGAAATAAATGCACTCAGGGCAAGATAATAACCCCACAGCAGAAGTACTGTGAGGTTTAAATTGTGACTCATAACTGTGCAGACCATGAGGGTCTGGGAAGATCCCATGAAGAAGGTGTTCACATCAGATTTAACCACAGTTCTATGAAAGGTAGAAGAGCACTTGTAGAGTATCAGGGTAGATAGATAGCAGGATCACCTTCCACTAGATCAGGTTGCTCAAAGCCCTGTCCAAACCTGGCCTTGGGCTTCTTTGGGCGACGTGTTCCAGTGCCTCACCACCCTGTCACTAAAGTTCTTCCTCCTCTCTAATATAAACCTGCTTTCTGTCAGCTTAAAGTCATTTCCCCTTGTCCTATCACTCCATGTCCTTGTTCAAAGTCCCTCTCCACCTCTTTTGTAGCTCCTTTAGGCACTGGAAATGGCTTTAAGGCCTCCTCAGAGCTTTTCTTCTCCAGGTGAACACTCCCAGCTGTCCCAGCCTGGCTCCAGAGCAGAGGGACTCCAACCCTCAGAGCATCTTTGTGTTTTCCTCTGGCCTCACTCCAACAGGTCCATGTTTTATGTTGGGGGCCCCATCTCACTTCATTTCTTTCCATTTCAGCTTCTCAAAACACAAACCTATTTAGTATAGATCCATTACTGATGGTATCAACTATACGCATTTTCCTTTTGTTTACCATAAAGTGAAAGGACTGATGAAAATGTTTGGTGTAGAAACAGAGCTGCCAGCCTGAAATGCTGAAAAGTGATGGTTGTCAGCAACAAGCTTCCCTTAGGATGATTCCACACATCACACTGACAGGACATTTCTGCTGATGCTCAGTCTAAATATTAATGTGCTGTCCTTGGGTCCTGCCAGCCCTCCCTCTGACACTCCACGTTACTTCTGGGTGTCTGTACCTTTGGAATACATGAACTGCTGTTGTTTTCCATTCTCAGGGCTGTATTCCTTCCTTGATCAATAGACTTGGCCTTCTCTCCTGGGGACAAGACCCAAGAGATTCCATATTTGCAGAATGGAATGTTTCCAAAGCTGGTTCTAGAACCTTTGCTCATTGACAGTTTGTCTGCACCCAAAACTCCTGCATCTCCTGTTTTCCAAAGAATTAATGGAACAGCACGGAGAGGAAATTGGTTAAAGGCTATAAAAATTGAAAGAAATTAACCTCAACTTCTTAATTTTTTAATTATATACAGTACTATACACCTTTTTGGTATATCTTAATTGCAAATCAAAGATAAAAATTCAAATAATGATGGAAAGTGTCTATCCCTAAATATATACACTTTCCATTGTCAAACAGTGCCTCTGCATGACATTTTATATTCTATATTTGAAAAAAAAACATGTCATAAAGATGACTATCTTTGGATGTCTGGAGTTGCATGAATCAGTAAATTGTTTATTTTCTCAGTGGGAGTTCACTCAGGACATTGAGGAGCTATTTCCCCCTAATTAGTTCCCTTGAGTCCTCTTATAAAAAAAACCACCTTAGGCTTCAAGGAGTCTGTTTGGGGTCATTATTTTCTTGATAAATGTACTCCCCACCACTCCAGATTTCCCAGAAGGGAGACTGCAGGGTAGAAGAATGTTGTGCTGCACAATATATTCCATGATTGGTTCAAATTACTCAATTTACCCTGTATTTTCAAAAAAACCAATCCGAAATCATCAGTCAGCCACATCCTACTTCCAGTGCTGATGCCAGGCAGTCATTTTCCCTCAGAGCATCATTGAACATGAGCTCTCCTCAGCTTGTTTCTTACTTTGATGAACTGGATGGCTGCAGGGACTGTACTGAGATTTGAGACATTTCATTTGAGATGTTGCTGGTTGTTTCAACCGCTGATAGCTCTGTAGGAAAGGAGTGGACAACGCTGATTTTGCTCATACCAGGCAGAGGTTATTGACCTGTAAAATTTACCATCATATTTTATCAAGCCACTCTGAGATGTCATTTTGTCAGATAGGTGTGCTAATGCAGGGTGATTTATCTTGTCTAATCTTTGAAAGGTAACCTGCAATCAAACCTCAGACAATGCTGAAAGATGTTGTCAGTTATGTAGTACACGCTGAAGAAACAAGAATTTTTGTTTTGGTCTTTAGATCAACAAATTCTTGCTCAAAAAGAAAAGTATATCCTTCATTTTAGACTCAAATTTTAGCTGCGTGTGGTGTAAATGTGTTCATTTTCACCTGTCAAAAACCCTTTCATGCTCTGTATCTTGTGATTATTACACTGTGATCATTCCTTGATAGTTGCTCACCTCTATGATTCAGAGTTGCCAAGTTCAACCTTGTGTTTTCATTTATTCTTCTGGTGCTGAGCTGACTCTAATAGAGTTTTAGGCTTATTGAAACACTGGCCTTAGATTCCCATGGCCTAAATCCCCCCTAAATCCCAGTGTTTTATTTTGGCCTTAGCAGACTCTAAGAGAGTTGGGTAGCGCAGGCATTGCAGTGGAATTGCAGATGTGAAACTCTGGATGTAACAGGTGTGTTCATGGGCTCCTGCAGGTGTTTGACCCACATCTGTGCCAGCCCCACTGCAAAATATGGACAAACCATATACAAAATATGTGTACCATATACACACAAAAACATGGAAAAGTTCTGTGGAGTTGGGACTGCCCACCAGCAGCCCCACCACCCTGGAGTGTCTAACCCACAGGTGGCTGGGGAAGAAGGAAAAGCTGCTTTGGGATAATTCTGCATTTAACAAGGGCTGCTGCAGCATTCCTTCTGCACACAAATGCCTTTTAACCCCTCTCTACCTGACATCCCCTTCCCAAGCTAATATTCCCACTTTTGGTTTATTTCAGTGGAAGTTTATTTGCTTGAAGTCTGAATAATAGAAATTAAACTTTTTATTGATAGGAGATGACCCTTTTTTTTAATCCTGTGATGAGAAAAATATCACCCAGACATCTCTAAGGTTTGCAATGTGAGCTTGCAGTCTGAATTTCACGTGTGCAGCACGAGTCCAGCATCACTGTAAACACTGAGAACAGCTGTGAACAGAGAAAAGAAGAGCTGAGAAAAACAGATGCCTTTCAATTTGTACACATTATTTAATACTGAAATGACCCATAACACAGCGTTAGGTGCTTTATTATATTTGCCCACCTTAGAAAGAAGCTGGAGCAGCAGCAGCAGCCGGCTCAGGCGTGTGGGGAATGCAGCCACAATTCCTGCACCCTCTACTGGCTGATGCACAGACCTCGGAGGGGGCTGCAGGAGTTTTTTTTCTCATCTATAAGAATAAATTTCTCAGCTGAAACAATAACGTTTGCCAGCAAAAATTTTACAGCACCATTATTAGTAGAAATAGGAAATTTGGGTGCTCTAGTTGTCTGGAATAGGAAAGGAAGCCTGAGAAATAGAAAACTAATTAACTCTTTCATCTTGCCTAAGAAACTACTTTTTGGGAACCATTGTGCTCACTTTCTACAGCAAGGAAATTCCAAAGTTTGGCACACAGAAGGAGACTAAGCTGTATTGTGCTAATTCTGAATGCTAGAGACATTGTTCATTAAATTCTGCAAATGCTAGGTGTGGGGGGATAAAAAGTAGTATTCTGCAATCAAGACCTAGAAATTTGAAAATTAAAATTCAAAGTCATGTCTTTCTGGGTGTGGGTTTCACTTCAGCCACAGATAAGTATTACAAAGTATTTGTATAGTTTTAACTTTCAGATGGGTGTAGCTGATCATGCTATAAAAAACAGCTGCAGTTTCAAAGTCCACGTAGAGAGCACCCTGTGGCATGACCATGGTGTAGAGAGGATCACACACTCTCCTGGGTTATGACATCAATTAAATAATAGTCTTCTAGGCTGCTGCAGTTTCTTTAATGATGTTTCTTTCTCTGTTTGTTTTTTTCTAATTTCTTTTTTTTTATCTGTTTGTTTCTTTTTTCTCTTTTTCTTCCTTGCCTGCCTACATGGATGCCAGCTAAGGCTTCCTGACACAGCAGACAGAGGTAGCTGCAGATGTTTTGCACAGAGCAGGGGTGCTGTTGGTGTGTCCAGTTTTCCAGGGTGCCTCACCATGTAGATATGATGCTATCTCGTGTCTGGTATCTGTCATAACCTAACATGAACCCATTGCACAGCTACAATGAAGAATTTTGTTGTTGTTGCCTTGCTATTAAATGGTTTGGACTGCTAGATTTTACAGGAATAGTATTATTGGGCTATAAAGAATAGCTCACACTACAGTGAGATTTTCAGAAATCACAAGTGATTTGATCTACCTTCAGTTTATTTTTTTAAAAGTAATTGTATTTTCAGAAGGATTATTGCCCCTCTCATTGCCAGTTAGAGAAGGGGCTTCTCTGGGTCCTTCAGTTCATGAGCTCTTCAGGTGTCTTTGCCTTGGAGATCCTTGACAATTTCTGTTCCCCCTGTTTGCCTGTGTGTTCTTGCCTGTACATATCAATTTTGTGTCGTTTGTGCAGTGAATCAGATTCCCAGACTTGACAAGCTTTAAGACTTGCTAAGATAAGCAGGTGAATGTGTTACAATATTTGTACAATTATATTTTCATATTGATATTATCTCCTGGACTTCCCATCACCACTGATGATGATAAATGCCTGCAAAATACAGGAATTTTTCCTTTAAGGAGTGTTTTTCTGCCTTCCCATTATTTCTTATTGCTTATTTGGGCAGAATTTCATAAGCACTCCTCATATTGACTCCTCCACAAAACCAGTCAGTCCCACACGACCCTCTGGGGTGTCTGGCCCCTTTCAGAGATCTCTCAGCTCCCTACAGGAGCATGGATTTGCTGCTGCACCTGCAGGCAGCTGCGTGGGTCAGTGCCAAGCTGGGGCTGGCAGTGGCTGCCTCCTGACCTCCCTCTCCTCCTTGGGAATCCCTACATGCCTGCCCCCTTCTCCTTGGTATGGGAAGATTGTCCCTGCCCTGGTGATAAAAAAAATCAAGATGGATTAGGCAGAGTTAAAGGCAAGAGAGATAAAAAGGGTTTGCTCAAAATCTCCACCTGGTTCTACCCCTAACTCCCAACCCAGCACCCAAACCCCAGCACACCCCAGCTTCTTTCAAATGCAGCTCACACAAAGCAGATTGGAAGTGATTTACTGCTCTTTAGGAATGTTTTCAAATTGCATCTTTTTCAGTTGTCAGGAATTAACTGCAACTGCCTGAGTTTTAATTAATGGATCATGTTATTTGGTGCATCTGAAAAGAAAATTTAAGGCACATCTTTGGCTCTTTTGGCCAGTAGCCATAATGACAGCCAGGCTAATTATATCGGTCACCAAGTTATCGGCGCAGTCGTAACTGGAGGCAAACAGATGCCAAGAGAGGCTGGTAGTAAAATCATGATGTATTTCACAGTCATCTTATTACTGACTGATTTAAATAAGGACCTAAAATGCTCTGTCAGTACAGAGTGTGTCAAAGTTCCAGCAAGTCTTAATTCACAGAAGTTCAAGCTTTCCTTGCTTATGGAAAGTGACTGGTGAAGAAGGAAAAGGTATGCCACAGCAAAAGCATGTGGAGAGCAATTGTACTGCTTACACTTGCAAATTCTAACAATCCAGGTGACATGTTCTTTTTTTTTTTATTGAGTTTAAGTATTAGGGAAGAACACTCTCTGATGAGGATCCTCTGACTTCCATTTCATCTCATGAGTGATGAAGTTGGCCCATGGTTCTCTGTCATTTGCTTGCTGAGTCTAAATGAAAATAAACTGCATGTAATAGTGACTCAGAGCAGCAGCTCCATCAGGGAATGTCCCTGTGAGCTTTCAAACTCAGCACATTGGAAGTGGAATACAGTATGTACTCAACATTAGGTTTCAACAAATTTAATTTAAAAAACTAGAAATGGGTTGCTTTTCACGCTGTATGAACAGAAAGCTCTCTGTCTAAATGCTTTCCATAATTAAAAAAAACAAAGTCTAGCCCCATAGTTTCCTCTACTGGGTCACTGCAAACCAAGGTACTGCTGGATTATGGCTTCAAATAATAACTGAAATTTTGAGAAGGAACAAAGTCATAAAACTCCTCTGTAAATGTATTCCCAGCCACATAAACAAGGAAATGGATTTTATAATTAATTCAGAGTTCCCTGGCAAGCACAGTGTTGTAATGTGTTGTAATCTACTGATTAAGTTCCAGTAAGAACACTGGCAATGGCTTTTTTTATCAATATCTGTCTTTTAACAGCACCCAGAAGAACCTGAAATTCTGAATCTCAGAATAACCATGGGTGGATTGTGCTCATCTGAGCATCCAGTCAACACTTGGAGAGGGGTGAGTTTGTAGGAGCAGGGTTTGTGTCATCCTTGGGTCCTGTTTTCTTCCTCTTCCCACGTCTCTGAGCACTGTGTTTTGGAAATGCAGTACTTAATAGAAAATTGCTTTTGAGAAGTTCAGGCTGAATGGGTGTTTGAAACATTCCAGCAAAGCTTTTAATCCAGTAGGATTCTACTTCACAGAATGCTTTACCATCCATCAGGCCAGTGGTCATGGCTGTTAATTAAATGAAAATGCAAAATAAATCTACAGTGCAGAGATACAACATAGCCAATTAAACATCCCAGCGCAGGGTGCTAATGATAAAAAGTGAATGTCACTGAGGACAACCTGCATGATGTCAGAATACAAATCCCATCAGATGACAAATCTCACGGCTCCCATCGTGGGTGGGAGGAAGGGAATGGGGGTCCCTGAGTGCTGAAGAGCAGCAGAGGTGGTGGTGAGGGGATGGCAGCATTGGGGACTTCTGTGGGCTTAGATGTACTTAAGGTCAGAGCACTCAGACTAGTGCTGATAATTTTCTTGACTCTTTATCTGTGAAACTCTGACCAGTCTCAAGTGAGCCCTTTGCCATGCAACAAAGAGCTGTACTTTTTTTAATGTATTTGTTTTAGTACAAAAGAACAATGCTGAAGAAAGCAAAAGATGACCATGTTTGGAGTGCCTGAAGGACTGTCAGGGCCCTGTGTCTTTGTGAAGATGCTCTCTGAAGAGGGATGGCCTCTTTAAGTGGCTCATTTTGGCAAGGCTCAACCAAATGAATGGCAATAACTCAGCAGTTACAGCTAACTACAGCAGCTCATAGGCAGGCATTATAATTTCATTAAAGATCTGGCAATCTGGGCAATCTAAAGAATAGAAATGTACAGAGATGAGAGCAATCTTAAGTTTCATGAAATCAAAGAAAATATTTAACAAAATTATTGCAACACAAAACTTAATGAGCTACCTTGAGACAAACAAATTAATGACTATTTAGTATTTTGTGTATGTAAACAGTTCCACCTGTTCTACCTATTTGAAAGGTTAATTTTCTTTGAGAAACACAGTCTGACAAAATTTATATTTGAAAGAAAAGCTTGTCTGTCTTAAGCTACATATTTCAATAGCTCATGAAACTTGTGTTGCATCAAAAAATTTGCCTACCTTCAAAGCTTCGGGTGCATACTTTATGTATCTGAACGTGCATTTTAGCTTGGATTGCTAGTTGGGAGCTTCTTTCTTCTTTTCAGCTTTTGATTGTATGTTTTGCACTTTTTGGATGTTAGTTGCTTACAATGAGGGTTGTATGAAGGGTTTCATGTTCTTAAAATAGAGAAAATGGAGCAGACGGAAATTTTAGACTATTGCAGGATGCTGGCCTTTGAAATTTCCATGGATTTTCAGCCCATGGAAATTTAGCTCTTTTTTCATTCTTTTAATAAATGCAGATAACACAACCCTATCAAGACTCAGTTGAACTAAATATTAAATAATGCTGGTCTTTAAACCAGTTTTGCATTCCCTAGATTGCAATGAATGTGTAATTCTTTCTGACATGCAGGGTATTAAAACATATTTAACAAAGCTCTAATCAATTACATGCACTTTCAAACAAATCCAAAACACTCTTTACAAGTTTTTATGTAGGCATAAATGTGTGTATACCATAGAACTGTTTGGCTTAGAAAGTACCTTAAAGATCATATAGTTCCAACCTTATATAAATATTTTTATATATATTTATACATACATATATATATAAGAAAATAATGTGTGTGCAAGCGATGTAGTTCTTACAAGCATGGTTGTCCTGCTTGTAAACTGCTGGTTGAATCAGCATCAGATGCTGCATGGATAGAGGAATGTCATATATTCTTTTACTATATTAGAATATAATCTATTATTACCACACATGTAGGCTCAGCTATTGCCATCCCACCTTTTTATAGAGGGTTTGGCCCTATACTTTGTTTTCCCAGGCAAATATCCCTTCCTGGACCTGTACAATTTTCTGGAGCTGGAGACAAATCTTGTTCCCCTCCCACAAGTCAGTATTCCTCTTTCCCCAGCAGTATTTTGGATGAGAGGAGAGCTATTGAGACCCCTGGAGGGAAGGAATTGGGAGAAGTGTTTGAATCACAGCACAGGGGAACGAAAGGCAGTGAGAAAGTTCTGGAAAGGGACCCCAACCTTGGGGACAGGCCAGAGCAAAATTGAATGGTGGCATCACAATCACTGCTGAGAGGGGGAGTTGAAGAACAGATTAATGTGCTCAACAATTCGGTGCCATCTCTGCACGAGTGAGGATGGGTTAGGACCAGAAGGAGACTTGGTGACCAAAGCTGGGATTGTTGCAGGTTGGGTGTAAATTTTCAGCTCCTGCCACCCACAAAAGGCATGGTAAAGAAATAAATGGGTTGTTTTCCCCCCCACAGTTAGTTAGGGGATCATCTGCTTAAAGGATAGAGCGTTCCAAGGAGATGTTCACGAGGTGGCTCAGGGAAACCAGGGAGGATAGATATATCCTTCTTGAAGGAGAGAGAATAAAACTTTGCACACTTAGATTCCAGTGGTTTATCTAGTGACAAGGAGAGCGCTGTTATTTTATTTCACCTTTATTTCTTGCTTTTCAGTGTAAGGAACAACCCAAAGATAAAGCTACTCCAGGGCTTTGTGCAGATGAAGAATGGCAGAATATCTCACCTGGTATTGCCTCTTTGGTGATAGTTTTTAGGCTGTTGGTTGCTCTGTGGCTGGTGGCAAGTGATTGATTTTCATATACAAATTTCATTTCTAGCTTTGAAACTTTTTTTCCCATGTAGTATTCCCTTGAGACTAACGTAGCAACATAAATGGGATTGCCCTGTCAGCTGAGTATGTTCTGCCTTTCTCTTTGTACCTGAGAGCTGCATGCTTTTGGCAACAGCAAAAGAGTTAAATTTCAGTGTACCGAAGGATTCTGGACTTTCCTAATTAACCATGGACTATAATAGTCATTGAGACAGGCAAAAAACGTGCCCAGGACAGGATTATGCCAGTACATGGGAATGTCACAGGATAAATTGCTGCTGTGTCCTGTCACTCCTGCCATGGGCATTTAGATCCAGATCCTCAGTGGTACTGAGAGAAATAAATAGCCCAGCGTGGCTGGGACTGACCTTCCCTCCACTGGGACGTGCTCTCAGGTAAGGGTGTAAAAGCTTATCAAATTTTCGGGCACCTCTAGACCTTGCCTGGGGCTGTAGGCTTGGAAACATGAGTGGGTTTGCTGTGCTTGGTTAGTGTCAATATTTTAAACTGAGCTGGATGTTAACAGAGCAAAATATAGATTTTAAACACAATGTGAAGGGAAGTCTCTCCTAAAATAACAGGAGATGTTAATGAGCTCTCTGCAACAGGCTTAACTTGGGATGTTTTAACGTGCGATTGTGGCTGTTCTTAAAAAATGAATAGACCTATCAGCATTCAAAGGACTATTCTCCCTTCCCTCCTGATCTGGCCTTCCTTTCTCCCCACATCCCCTGAGTTGCCAACTTGCACTGTCTGCTGTGATCCTAGAAAGCGTGAGGGCTGGGGTCGGAGAATACTTTTATTCCTCAATTAGAAATAGAAAGAAAGCAATGCAAAATAAAGTAAAATATTTCAAGATACAGCGAGGGGAAACAAAAAAAGTCACTTATATCTTGTGTGCACACAGTGATGATCCGAATAAGTAAGAGCACGGTATCATCCTAAATTACACCCGTGCGAAATATTTACGTATAATCCACATCTCTCTGTATAAACCACACATAAATCACATATTTGGGGTATAATTAAGCAAGAGGCAGCAGCCCACCCTGACGCAGGTTGCGTGCAGCATCTCCCCGCCGCTCTGGCATCCCTTCGTGCCCCGGCGCTGGCGGTGGGAGCCGCGGCCCCGGTGCGGAGGCTGCCCCGGAGGCCGGTCCGCCCGGGGCGGTGCGGGGCGGTGCGGGGCCGGGGCTGCCGCGCTGTTCGCCGCGCCGCCGCTGGGGGTATCTTTGTACCATTTTTCATCCAGCAGCAATTTGGAGTGGAAACGTGTAATAGGGGAGAAAAAAAAAAAAAAAAAAAAAAAAAAAAATTTTTTCCAAAAAAAAAAAAAAAAAAAAAACACAAAAAAAACATCAAAAACCAAAAGTTTAAAAGGGGAGAAAAAAAAAAAAAAAAAGCAAGGGATCTCGGCGGTTCGAGCGAGCCGTGCATCCAGGAGCCAAAAAAGATTAACACCCTCTCCGCGCCCCTCCGCGCCCCTCCCGCGCCCCTCGGGGCAGCGTCGCGGCTCCGCGGTCGCCCGCCGGACATCGAGCGAAAGGGATTCGTTTGGAGGGCACTTTCGGATCGGGGGAGATCTATTGGATTAGTGGGATTATCTGCCTGCAGACGGAGAGAAGTAGCGTTTGATCATTTCCATTGCCTGCCTGATGGTCGGATTTACATGGAGGTGGCTCGGCACGGATGAGGCTGGATTCCGGATGGGGATTTCCAGCCCCCCCTTCCCGCGCCCCGATCCTAGGAAAGGGCAGAAAAATATATAAAAATCGGTATAATTGGGAAGTGTCCGGAGCACTGTTGGGAGCCCTCCCGCTCCCAGCGGCTGGGAGAGCCGGAGGAGGCGAATCCAGCGGAATACAGCTTCGGCTGCGGTTGCGGGAAAGCGGCCGTGAACTGGTAAATACTTTGATGCTCCCTGCGTGCGGGGCGAGCCCGCGCCGGGATGGAGAGGAGGGAGGGGACGGCCGGGCCGGGATGCAGCAGCGCGGCCGGGATGGAGGAGAGAGGGAGCGGCGGGATGGAGATGGAGCCGGGCCGGGCGCGGGGCCCCGGGCAGGGCAGGGCAGGGCGGCTGCGGGGCTGAGCCCGGGGGCGCTCGGCAGGGCCGCTTTCCGAGCCGCGTGTGCGTGTCCGCGGCCGGGGAGGGGGATGCGAGCGGGGCTGCGGGTGCGGGGCTGCGGCGGCTGCGAGCCCGAGCGGTGCCCGCCCGCGGGGATGCGCGGCGGCGGGAGCGGCTGCGGGGGTGTTGGCGGGGGCATTTCCACACACGCGTTTTCGCACTCACGCACGCACCCCCCGCACCCTCCGCCGCCGCCCCGGCGAACTTTTCCTTCCCCGCCGCCCCGGGGCCGCCGCCCGCTCGGGCCGGGCGCGCAGCTCCGCGGGCGCTCCGCAGCCCCGGTGCCTCCCGCAGCCCCGGTGCCTCCCGCAGCCCCGGTGCCTCCCGCAGCCCCCGCTTCTCTGCCGGGCCTGCCGGGGGGATGCTTTGCTTTATTTCCTCAGACATCTTCTTTTTCGCCTGGGTGCTGAGTGCTGCTTCTTCTGCTTCTCCCCCCCGGCCGCCCCCCCCACCCCATCCTCCTTTCCTGATCGCACTAGAGCATCATCTTTACTTGCTAAAGGAAAATCAATTTTCAACAGGTTTAATTAAAATTAATCAGTCAAATTACTTAATATTAATTGACTTATAATTAAAGCCAGAAAGTTACCTTGGAATCAGGAGAAAGGATGTTATCTGGAATCGTTTTAACGCTGCATATGGTTTCAGGGCAATTACATTCAAATAACTGTTTAAATAAAACAAACCAGAGCTTGATTGTAGTGTTCTGTTCTTGCTGGTGCAGGTGACACAATCTGGACTGGTCATTTCATTCTGTAAATTTGCTGACCTTTTGAAGGAATATCATGTTAGTTTGACACTGGGTTTGCTTTCTGGAAGGCCAGTTTGTTTTAGCTCTAACAACTATGGCATTAAAATCCACTAGTATAAAATGGAAATATGTCTTATAGAAGCTATAAATATCAAAGTGAATGTTTTTAGCACGTTTAGATGTTCTGTGAATTTGAAATGAAGCAGATTTTTCTTTTTCTCAGCATAAGTGTAAGAAATTGTTTTAGGAATTATTTTTTGCCAGCACTGCCATCCACTGTGGCAATACTTGCATTTATCCAGAGCCTCAGTGGGACAAGACCATACTGGTAAATTCAGAGATAATTCACATCCAAAACCATGTATTTTTGGCAATGCTCACAATAACCTTTTCATGCTCCCTTAAGACCTGGGTTGGTATTTTTGTTTGCTTGTTTTTCACAGTAGCATCATTTTTGGTGCATCCACAGACTATTGTTATTGCTGAAAGAGGAGTACTGTGAGCTTTGGGACATTTCCCCCTACTTTTCTGGGCTGGCTTAGTTGAAGCAAAGGACACTTATGAAATTGCACGTACTTTATTACAGGCACCTGACAAGAGAAAGACCCATGCACAGTACAAATGAGCATTTAAAAATAGAGCCCATTATTCAGGGCCCTGATTTTCAGAGATCTTGATTCCCATTGACTGCACTGAGACTTGTGTGGGCTCAACAGCTGTAACATGCAGACCACTTCTGCATCTTTGAAATTAGATTTGCAGATTGGGAACCAAAAGCTAAAGTAGCCATGTTTGGGAATGGTGGTTGGGAAGGATTATTTATTTTTTTTCTTCTCTCCCCCACCACTCAATTACTGGTGCAGGGTGCAGGGTTAAAGAAGACTGCTTCTTAGTTACTTTTTGATAAATGACACCGTTTTTCTTAGGCTGTGGCTGCAGATTGCAGTAGCAGTTTTGCAGTAAATGATTAGGAGATCCTCAGGTACCTACAAAGAGATCCCATTTATCCTGTACGTTTCCTGCGAATCATATGCAGGCTGTGGGAAGAAAAATGAGGCTGAGGATAATCATGCTAAGTGTGCTGGGAAGCAGGATTTGGCTGAACACCTCTGTTTTGTGATTAACTGAGGCAGCAGCGAGAGCCATGAGAGTGGTTCAGGCTGTTTGAGGCAGTGGGTGTAGGAGCGAGGAGAGGAGCTGTGACCTGATGCTGCTTTGCTTATCTTACCCCTTCTCCTAGAGTAGGGTAAGAAGATAATATCCTAGCTGTTGATACTTAAACATCTTTCACAAAGTGGGTTTTCTCTGGATTATTTGGCTGGAGGTGGAGCAGTCTGCTGAGGAGGGTTATTTAAAGACTGGGACAGGGCTGTAGGCAGATAAATTGATTTGCAAGTGAATGGAGGAATTTGAACATGGCAATGGTGGTAGTTGTATTTTTTATCAGTTTACATTTTTAATATCCGCTGGCATGCACACCAGCATTAACCACTCTAATTGCTCAAATGGAGTCTGGGGAAAAGGGAAGAAAGCAGAGGCTTAAATGTGGTCTCAGTTTGTAATGGATTGGCTTGCCTTTCTTTATTAAAAGCAAATATACATTCCTTTGTAATAGAGATGTAAAGCTGTATTACAGACCCTTGGCTAGCTCTGAATTATTTGTTCGATGACATATTTATTATGGTTTTTTAATCACATGAAAAAATATTTAAAAATTAAATAGTGGAAAAAGAAGGGCAAAAAGAGACAGACCTTCTTTGAAAGAAAATAATGAAAATAAAACATTTTTTCTAGAGGTCCAGTAGAAATCTCTGTGGATTTCTTTTAATAAAGGATGGGCTGTTATCAATTTAATCCCGTAAATCATAGAGTCTCTGATTAGTCCCAGATATCCATCCATGGTAAGTACAACAGGTGATAAAATAATAGATAATTATAAAAAATAGGTCCTGACTGATGAATAAAGGCTGTTCTGGAGGAATGTCTCCATTTCTGTAGCCCTGGTTCTGAGCTCTGCTTTGTAAGGGAGCATAAGCACTCAGAGGGGGATGCCTGCCCTGATACCCAGGTGTTGCACAAGAGTTTCTGTGGAAGGGAGGGAGAGGGAGTTAGGGCATGCAAAAAACCAAACCAAACCAAAAAAACCCACCTAATGGGAAAACTTCATCATGTGTTGCATATTGAGAGAACATCGTGTACTTCTGATAACAAATGATGATGCTACATTCCCCAGGATTACTATTGAACTAGCAGAATTACAGGGGGAAATAATTTTGGCTTCTTGGTGACTCAGCTGCACATTTCTACCTGCCTCTGAAGACCCCACGTGTTTTCCAGCAGACTTTATTTCCATAACTGTTAATTTCTCATTAATGATGTATTGAGTGGTCTCCAGGGATAAAAGTGACTGCTTGGCTGCTTGGTCCCATACTAAGTTTTGCTGTGCACCCTCTCCTCCACAGCACTTCCCACTGGAAAACAAAAGGTGGAGTGAGGGAGCAGCAGCTGTGGGAAACCAGGGGGGCACAGAGTCTGTGCTGTAAATATCCTCATGGTTACCAAGCCATGTAAAGGTCTGGGCTGCACACAGCAGGGTAACATGGTTTTTCCACTGCTATGGTCAAATAAAACATGAGGCCATTAAAGGAAAAGCAATTTGAATTCTCTTTACCCCATTTGTTGAATTCTTCTGTTTTGTCCTCATAATATTTTCTGCATAATCAGTTTTAGTGTTGCCTTTGGGTAGCCTCTTACCTTCTGCTGATGCTTGGTTAGGTCCTTTGCTCCATATTAAGGGAGAATGTAATGCTTGGAAATTAGCAACACGTGACTGTAAAATCATAAAAGTGGTCAAGGACACTTTACAACTATTGCATTTCAAGTAACTCATATTCCTTTAACGAAGCAGAGAACTTAAATGGCAATTTGAAAAGATGTTTTCTAAATCTCCTCAATCTCATCCTGCCTAGAGAAGCCATTAGCTCACTTGTTGAACTGGTTCTGGAAATTTAATGAGGGGAACACATTTATGTTGCATTTTGTATTTTTATTTAATTACATTTTGTCTGAAGCTTTTAGGTTCGACATCTGAACTTAAAGTTGTTCCTTAACTTTTGCCTTCCCAACTGTCCCCCAATTTCCAAAACAGTACTTGAAAGCAGCAAAGTGTTATGTAGGCACATAGTGTTAGAAATATTCATGAGGAGAAAACGACAATTTAGTCAGGAGAAACCTTACAGATAGACTGAATATTTTGACATCCTCAAGCCTGTGCAAAACAGGCATTGTGGGATGAGGCTTTTGTTTCTTCTACTGGTTTCACAATAATGGATTATTTCAGAGGAGAATCTGGGCCCTGGAACAGGCACCATGAGATGCAGCTGCTGGGTCAGGAAACCCTCTGGTCACTGGAGACGTGGTCAGTGTGACCAGGACATGACCACAGGGGCACTGAGCCTGCTTGCTGTAGCTTTCTCACAGATAGGGGTAGAAAATGAAAACAGGACAAGGAGCTGAATAATAGGAGCTACACATGAAGTCAGATGGAAAGAGTAAATCTTTGTAGACGTTTAATGGTGTTATATTCTAAGCTTTTGGGAAATTTTATTTGAAATTTTTTTACAACGGTAAATATAGTCTGTGCTATATCCTATTTCTATTTCATGTGAGAGAAAAATTCCCCATCTATGGCACAACACTTTACTGCTACCATTACTGCAGACTTTATAGATCAGAGATGTGTCAGCATGTTAGCTTTAGCTGTAATGCTTTTTTTTTGTGAAACCTTATGGGCCTTGCAGCCACTTTCTCATACTGACACTCATAAAATGTTCAAGTTCTCATATTTATTATTTAATTTGCTTCCTATATAAAGCAGCAGAGCTCTTTGGTACATGAATATGAAGCCAAAAATGACAGGCAGGCATGAATGGGACTAATGAGTTTTAATAATGCACATATTAGAAACTGTTAAAGGAAGTTTAATTAAGAAAAACAAGTTAAGCATGAAATTCATTTTGGAGCAAATGCAAGTGAAGTCACAGATGTACAGAATGCTAGATCACAGGAAACAACCTCTTCAAGCTGATAGATCCCTCTAATGCCAATATTGCACTCAAGTTGTAGTGTGCTCTCTGCAGTTCTGGAAAGCCTGGTAATACCAGTCAAGAGCACTTTCAGAGCTGAGTTAGAGATGTTGGGTTTGTGATTCACAAATTATGTTTATATGTCTGTGAATTTTCTGATGAGTTGGAACTTGATCTCAATTACCCTGATGAAATTGGAACCATCTTGGCCATCTGATCAAGAACAAAAATCGTGGGCTCCTTTTTTTGCCACAAGGAAGTTTGCTGGTATTTTTCTTAAAAAAAAAAAAAAATCATCTTGTTGAAGAGCTAGTTATTGATCTAGCTCTACAACAAGGGTTTTGTATGCTTGGAATTGTTACTTGGTATTGTATCCAGCTAGAACAACAATTCATGGACAAATCTGAGTTCATTCAAGCATCTTTGTTTGCAGAGTTCTCCCTCAAGAAGTGGTATTATCTGTATTCCAGCTTTTTTTGTCTTGAATTACTATTTCCACCAGGAAAATACAAAAGTGACATCTTTATTATGAATCTGATATGAAAGGTTGCCTTGGAGGCTGAACTAGCATTAGAGGTAGTATTATTGTTGATATTATAGTTATAATAAAGGTGGCAAAGAAAATCCAATTAATTTTTCTCATACGATTAACCCCAGTGAGCCAAGGGTGAGCCACAAATATATATCAGGTAAAGAACTTTGTTAACAATTCTATAACTACATTTATCACCTCAAAGAGATAACAAAAGGCCAGTTAGCTTCAGGAGTCTCTGGGTGGGTTCTGGACACTCTGCTAGAGTGATCATATGAGAAGCATGTGTATATTTTATGAAGTATTAAACAAAGCAATTCCCA